ACAATAATAATGACGGGAACTTATCATTTTGATTATTTATTATTTTACTACTAGATTAAATGTATTACTAATAACTAATAAGTAATAAGTAATATAATAATAATAATAACTAATATATAATTTGAAATGAAATAATATAATATAATTATAGTGGGAATAACTTTTTTCTCCATGATATATAGTTTTTCATCCAAGTCTGGGGAAAAATGAATGCGCGAAATAATCTAGTGATCATGCCTGTTTATTTAGTCATGGTCGACCGCACTATAGTAATGTCATAGGTAGGCTGACAGACCGTTTCGCTCAGAATCGTTTTTCTTATACAATTATATTTTATCATTGGATTCAAATTTAACACAACCCACTACCGTGACTTACTTGTAACTTAGTGTACGGCAAAGCGACACCCACTTGCCCACCTTTTTTTAAAAATGTTTTCTATTAAAACTTAATTCAGTTAAAAATTATCATTAACTTGTCCGGGCTTGAGCTCTATATTATGAGGTTCAAATTTTCGTCTAAATTACAGGATATTCACCCGCGGTAAATTAACGATATCTCATGGAACGATTTTCTTATTATGTTATTATTTAAAAACAAATAATCTTAGATACCTACTTAAAATGTTCATTTTATAATTTTTTATACCTACATCTTACAATTTAAAAATATTTTTTTAATATTTTGTTTTTTTTTTCTATATAATATTTGGATAAAAAATGTTCGTTGGTTCAAAAACTTTGAAAATGTAATACACGGTTTCGGAACAAATTCACTTAAGCAATCCAGCACATTTTTAAAATTTTTTTTTCATAATAGACGTATTTCGTCGAGCTAAGAACGATGGTGCCAAAAAAAATGGAAACCATTATTTTGAAAGTTATAGCTATCTAAAGTTTGCTATTTTACGTTGATACGCATGCCTGCAACACTACTATAATGCCTCGCGCAACAAAAAAAAGATAAACTAATTTCTGGTATTATCAGCATTAGATTATTATCATTTATTTACACATCAATGTCGTAATCTGTACTATCGTCGTCATTGAAACTGTCCAAGTCTGGCAATTACGTAATCCCCATTTTCGGTGTGTGCAGCTGCCGAGTATAAATGGGCAGCAAATTCAATAAACGCAGACAAAGGTTCAACTCTTTTGGTACGACATTGTTTCAAAAACATACATTTTGCCATGTATCCGGCGTAAAAATGTTTTTTCCTACTGTATTGGGTGAGCGATGCTCTCGCATGCCTCCACATTCCCTCCATGTTATTTGTATGAGCATCGGTTTCGGGGTCTTTAAAATTAATGGAATGGTTGACTGTTAAATGAACATACCCTTCATGTTTTAAATAATAAAAAATAATAAAGAATAATAAAGAATAACCTATATTAAGTTGTTTTTTAATTATTTACAGGTGTCTACCTAGACCTAGACAACAGGCTAATGAGTATATTAAATTTTTGTTGCGCCGAGTCACCGAGACGAAAGTGATTTATATTGAAATTACCTTTCTAGGAAATATAAAAAATACACACAAAGAACCAGAATGCTTCTTGAATGAATGATATAAATAAACTATTACTTGATGCTGATCTTGGAAATAAGAAATAGATACTACTCAACATCCACATTTTTTCAACACACTTTTTATGTAAATGTAGATCATTGTATAGAAATTATAGTATAAAACAAATAACAATAATTTTATTAACAAAAATGCTTTTTATTATATTTTAACAAATTAGTATATGGATCACTACAGCTAATTGTTCAACAATCAATTAGATAATACAACTAATTAAAATTAACTTTATTTTAACATTGCCTTTCAGTACAGCTTCCAATTAACACTAAAAAAAACCAAATTACCTAATAGATTTTCATAGAAAAATCTGTACACACCAATCACTTAATACAATTAATAAGTAATGTATATTTAAATATAATATAATAAATTACAATAAAGGAAATATTCTAGATTTTAATTTAGCAAAAATATCTACTTCTTCATTAAAATCTAGTGTATCAGCTTCTTTTTCATTTGCAATAACCATTATAAATCACTAAATCTGTTATCTCCCATTGTTAAGCGCAAATAATTTTTCACTATTTTCAATGTTGAAAAAAAGCGTTCATTGGACTAGCAGTACTAACAGGCAATGTTAAAATTATTAATTAATATTTTTAAGGTTTCTACAAAAGCAGATGGTAGTTTAGATAGCATTTTTGTTAGTATTATTATATCAGGATTAATTTATTTTTCTTTAAGTAGTCCTTGAATGGAAGAAAAATTCAGAAAATAAATATATAGAGTTAATTTTAAAATGCCTTTAATGGTTAAGAAATTTTTCAAGATAAATAGAATTTGAATTTAAAAAATGATTACTGTTGGAGTTAAAAATGTCCATAACCATCAAAATTGACACATCAAAAAAAAATTACAAAATTATATTACATAAATTATTTTATGAAATGATCTAATTACAGTTTGCATTAATCTATAACAAACAAACATTGATTACTATTTTTTCCATATAACGCATATAGGTTTTTGATAGACATACAACTATAAAACAGACATACTTCAAATCGCTATAACTTTATTTTGAAACTAAGTAACCGATTAATTTGATAAACTAATCCTTAATTTGTTTCATCAAAAACTACATGGGAATATTTAATATTACTATTGCTGACTTTAATAAAAACATAATTCTAGGTGATTATTAAAATTTTTTTATATAAATAACGAGACAACTAAAAATATTACCTAAGAAATGTGCATCAGTCTCATAAATTATTAACACACTATAGTTTATCAGTCCCTATATTAGTCTAATGACCGTTTCCAAACCTTTTAAGCACCCCATGTATAAAATATTTTTAAAAAACCTAGAATTATGCCTTAATTAATTAAACTTATTATTTAATATTTTTGTATAAGATTTATATATGTATATAAATAAAGAACCTGCAATCATTGCTCTGTTCTCTTTATCAATCTTCAATGGTCCAATTTTTTGAGCATGTCCACAGTGTGTTTTCCAGTACTTTACTAGTACTGAAGTATTTCCATTATTTTCTGTTATAGTTGTTTCTATTTTTGAAGGACATGTTTCACCAATTTTGTTGCTTCCCATTGCCTTCATCATTCTTAAATTGTTTCCTAATTTTCGATAATTTAATGAACGATGACAAAAATAATATTGTTTGACAACTCCATCAGAAATTTTCTTTGCTCCAGTTTCTAACACATACATTGTCTCGTTCAACATTATGCTTCCATGTTTCAAATTCTATCATATTATGAAAAAAAATTAATAGGAAATCAATCATAATATGATACTATCATGAGCTACTATAATAGTATAATGTACCTTTTAAATCATCAAAAGTTATCTTTTCTAACTCCACAGTAATGTTATGTTTAACACACTAATGTTCTCTTAGTTTAAGTGACGTAAATAAGTTTTCCTCACATGATTCATAAGGACATTTTATTCTTGTCTGTTTTTTACTTATAGAACTGTTGTGAAATTTTTTCATGTGTTTAGATGAACACTTTTCATTTGGAAATTTTAAATCACAAATGTGGCATTGAGAAAATTTTGGTTTTTTGCTTTAATGTTCAAATTGGTGAATAGTACGGCAATGAGTGTACATATTCTTTTTCAACGTAAATATTTCTATTCAGTTTGGATATTAATTAATAACTGTTTTCTCCATATTTATTTAAATTATGACAAATTCATAATACTCAAAATCCTAAATAGGTATTCGGAATATTCAGAATAGGTATTTATATTTTGTTTGGGAGGACTCTTATCGCAGATTAACTCTATTAACTCTAACCTTGATAATTTATGTTTATTTTATAATTGGAAATTGTCGGGATTTATTTCATATTAAGTATATGATATCATTCTTTTATGATAAGCCAGCCAAATGCCTTACTGCGGAGAAGCGCTCGTGCGATAAAGGCATCGCTTCGGTTGAGCCGAAGAGTGTTGCATACGGTTCTCATAACCACCCACCTCTGCTTTCCTCCCATCCCGTGCCCGCGTGTGTTATAAGACGTAAGGTCCATTTATTAGATTTTGTATGAGTTCGAAATAAACTAATAAGCATGTCGTGTTTATCAACACCTCTCATTGAAGTGTTATAGTTTCGAATAATTTCTGGGCGATCAACTTTTTCGTAAATTGTTTTGTTTTTATTCCATCGTCTTACCGTATCAGGCGTCCCTGATGTAACACAGTTAGTCACTAATACAACTGATTTTAAATCGTACCACTTTAGCATACCTATATTAGTATTAGGCACAGCTGAAGAAATTTCAAAAGAAGCACCACGACCTAAATTGGACATAGTTTTATCACTAAGTAGAGGTGGATTCATAAAACGGTTAGTTCTGGCCGTACCGGTGGCATAAATTTTCATTTCATCTAATGCATGAATTAAATTAAAACTGGTAAAGAAATTATCAAAGTATAAATAATGTTGGCTTGGTTTTACTATATCATTTATAAGTTTTAGAACAACTGCTCCACCAAACCCGTAAATTTGTTTTTCTTGCTCGTTAATTTCTGTATTTCCTCCTTGATACATTAACAAATCATACACAAGACCACTTGACCCACATAATAAATAAATTTTGAAGCCCCAAGGATGTGGTTTTCCACGCATATAATATTTGACGTAGCTTTGCCCTTTGAATGGGACCATTTGCTCGTCTACGCTCAAATTACGCTCAATTTCCAGCGAATTACATTTTTTTTTTAAACAGTTATACAAAGGACGCACTTTAAAAAATTTATCTTTATTGTTGCAAGGAATCGTATCATTATTGACAACATGAAATGTTCTCCGCAGTTGAAAAAATTTATTTCTTTGCATGTTATTAGCGATAATATTAATTCTCGATTTCTGTTGCCAGTACATACGAACGCGAGGGAGGCCATAAACTCCAATTAGTAAATGAATGCCTATAAATGTTTTTATTTCAAACTATTAATGTTGATGTTGGATATGAGCATTATGCGACTGCGTAGAGTTTCTAAGGATTTGAAGTATTTATCAATTGCTATCGCAGAATCGGGTTCTATTAATATTCTACCTTTGTTATCATTTTCTTTTAAACTTTCTTTGACCATGGTATTGTCTACAACTCCTATTAATGATTTACAAGCAGGAACTAATTCTTCTTCATTTATTGGCAGTATGGCATTAGGGAGTATATTGTTAAATTTAAGAAAATGTTGAAACATCTTCAAATAATTTTGCTGCTAAAATTTAAACGATTTTATTCCTAAAAAATAGACGGGGAAATTGTCTTCTGAATGATTACTCGCGGAGGCCAATTTTAAAGTCCTGGATATTAATTGCCTATGTTCATTATTTAAGTTACACATACAAAAAACAGTATATCTATTTATAACACAAGCCTCACATAATGATGAATTTATCCTAAGCCTTGGAACCTCCTCATACAAACCATACAGTCTATCAGTCAGTTCTGTTCCTATGTATTTGACTGTGTGTAATGCATTAGGATTGAGTTTATAACGAGAACATACTATGGATTTGTTGTCTATTTTGTTGACTTTATTATCAGGGATTGAGAGCCTAAATGATTTTAGCCACTCCATCAAAATAGCATCGCCTTCATTGTTTTTTATTTTTGTAGATTTCATTTTTCTGACGAAATTTGCTAATGAGAGTCTATATTCCAATGTCAAATGATAATTTTTTTCACAATCATTGTTACAGCTTTTAACACATTGAGCCAGTCGTTGTGATAATGTGCAGGAAGATGTTTCTGTTTTTACCTTCATTACTATGGTAGTATTTATGTACACCAACATGTAAGCATCATTAAGTTTGAACTCGTTTGTTTGAATGTTGATGTGTTGATTTGATGTAAATCCCTTAAATATGTTTTCATTGTGCACATTTGAATTGTAGGTATTCAAATTTTTCACGATTTCATCTTTTATTTCATACCATTCTTCGGTTTTGAGATCTTTAATGTGTGTAATGAAATGACCAACATTTGAACTTGGGCCTTTGTGTATCAAAACCCCAAATAGTTCAAACTTATAGTGGTCCTTTGATGATGCATATGATACATCAAATACTTTGACAAATCTATAGTGTAAGGACATGTTATTTCCGTTCTTAATTTTGTTACCTTCATTAAATTGTTATCATACATATAGCGCGTGAGTTTTAAATGTATTAGATGAGGTAATGAAGTTAATACAATTTGACGAACAGCATTTTGTTTAAATTACTTGTGACACAAAAATATTTTTCGTCCCCTGTCATGTTATCTTTATTAAAATACTCTTGCTAGCTTTCAGTTAAGGTTTTATGACCTTTAATATTTAAATAAATTTGCCCAAATTGTGAAGAAGTTATTGATTCTGTTTTACACGCTAAACATGTAATGACACTGTAATAATCGCAAAAAAAATTATTTTTTACCATTTCTCGAATGGACACATTTGATTGTGAATTTGACTGATCTTGAAATAATGTCAATACTCAATAAATAATTTTGAAATTCTTCCGAATTCTCTTCCATAGCAGCATTAAAACCACAACAAGTTACGAGGGGTTTAGGATCTACTGTTGGCTGATTGCCAAACTCCATCAAAGCAAATATTAATTGAAGTTGACCAATTGCAGCCATGGGCTCATATGCGTTTTCAATGAAAAGAGTGTGGTTTTGTTTTCCATTTTCATCATTTATGGGATCCCAATTTAATATTGCGTTTTTAATATTAATGTTGTGAAACCATAGTTGGAGTAAACTGTTAATATAACAAGTTGATCCTAAATTATTTAATCCGACAAAAGTATTTGCTTTTTGAAGCATAAAATTTGGTTTAGCATCGACATGTAGTTCTCTAAGTTCAGATAAGCAATGCGGATTGATACAATTTGAATGGTAATATTTCTTTTCACATTTAGGAAAATCTATCTTATACGTTTTAAAAACATCTTCTCATCTTATCTCTTTAGAAATAATGGTGTTGTTTGCAGATTTCATATTTGTCATGAGCTTACTCTTCTTATCAAAAATCTACAAAAAGTTTGATCTAATAAATAATTTGTTATGAAATTGATTGTGGTCCAGCTGTATTTTGCTGAAACAATAAAAAACAATGAATTCAGAAAATGAATATTTCAATTATCAATATTAAATATTGAAATGCTACTGCATTACTAAATATTATTAGATAATTTTTTTTTAATGATACCAATATTTATGAAGACCAATCATTGAAGTCGCTAAGCATAATATCAAAATTATTCTGATATGAATAAGAAGGGTAAACGGAAAAAAAGTCTCCCGTTACAGTATAAATAAAACGATATTTCCACTATACTTGTTATTTTATTTATAAAATAAATTGGGTTGACAAATCGTATCTGTAGATAGTACATGACAATTAATTAACATAATCTATAGTTTGATAGTTACACAGTACCAAAATATACAGATACCTATCATATAGTTTCGAGTTGTACGCGAGTGTAGTTTAAGTGTTTGACCATGGAACTTCTTACATCAAACAAGGGAAATGATAAAATTTCACTAGACGGGTATACTTATACCATTGATTATAGAATAGACAGATAGCCCACGGCATAGGAGTATTCGGCGACTAAAATAATATTTCGACAGGATGCCTATAGATGGCGTTGTATCAATCAACAATTATTAATTACAGCATTGATTATAGAATAATCAATGATTACAGCAACCACAATATTGTTTATCGCGTTCGTTATCAATTATTATTATTACTTTTATTATCGACAATTGTATTATTATCAAAATATAATCAACTAATTCCATAAATTCAAAATTGTCAGCAGCTGCAAAACTTTCAATGGTACCATATTATAAGTAAAAAGTAATAACAATATAAAATGTCCTAGACTAACATACCGTCTCGGCTCATTATCATTTTTCATATACAATGATATATCATTGAATTCAAATTTAATACCATCCATTGCAGCAACCTTCTAAACACCTAATGTACAGCAAAGCTACATCCACTTACCCCCTTTTTTTAATTTTAATATGAGCATTTACTATTTAGCTAGAATCATTCTTTTCAAACAACTATGTTCAGCCATTTAATAAAATGTTTTGATTTCAACAATGAAATAGTATTCAATTTTAAAAATACTGAGTTAATCTTTACTACTGGGCCTAAAAACTAAAATACATCATATTTCAAGGTACACACTTGAACATCTAAAAATGATATGATGCAAGGTTCACTTACACCACCTAAATAATATTGTTGTCTTTAACAAGGTATGTTGATGGAAAAAATAAAAACATAGTTGTTTATATAGGTAATAATATTATATTATAAATCAACAGTTATAATAAGTTACAATATAATATATATTTTGAGTCTCCTAGTGACACTATGGATCCTGTAGCATGTAGACACTAGCAGCAATTCTCATAGGTAGGTACATTGTCAGAACCAAGAATAATTAATGAAAATATTATTATTATATTTAAATGTGGTTTAATATTTTTAATTTTGAAAGTTTAGCTAATTTGGATGTGGTTGAAAACATTTTTGTTTTATTAAATATTTTACAAATTAAAAGTTGATCAATTATATACATTTTATGCTCTATACAGTTTTGCATTGATTCATCTAACCATTTTATAACTGTTTTATTATTTTTTACACGCTCAGTTAATTGAAATCTAATTTTCTTTTTATTTAAATAGTTTTTATAGTTGTTTTCAAAAATATTTAAAATTTTATTTATTACATTATGGAAATTATTTGATGGTGCTTTAAGTCCACTTTCATTATTAAAAGAAATATAATTTTTATTAAGTAAAAGTAATTGTTTTTTATCATTTAAGTTTTTATCTGTGAATAATTCAAGTTGACAATGGTTACAATTAAATTTTTTCATACATTTATAGCCCAAATATCCTGCAAAATATGTAATAGAGCAGTCTTCTAAAGTAACACCAATAGTGTTATCAATATTAACTGAGTCCTCATCAGATGATAAAAAATAGAGAGATAAATTAGAGTTAGATTCTGTATCTGAATCTGAAGATAATATTGAACTGTTCAAATTTACTTTATTTATTGGTCTAACTGGATCAATTATAACTGGATTATTATCTTCTTGGGTTACCTCACAATTAGTCCCTTTAGATGTACATAAAGAAAAGATACAATTACTTCTTATTGAAGTTCTAATCGTTCTAGCTGTTGGGTTTTTGTTATAACCACCATTTTGTCGAAAAATACTAAAAAGATTTTCTAACTTATCCTGATTTAAACGATTAGTCATTAAAAATACAATATCATTAGCTTTCTCTGCTTCGAAAAATTGCAATACACAATTAATGGTTTGCGTAAAACCTTTAAAACAGGGTGGTTGGGTTAATTTTCCTTTTTTTAATTTTTGCAAATTTGTGAAATATTGAGAAGCTCCAATTAAACATTTTTTTACAGTACCTACATCAGTTAATGCACAGAGATATGGATTATTACTATATAAAGACCGGCTATTAAGACAATCAAATAAATTATTAATAAACTCAATAAAATCTGCAGTATTTGATGAAGTGCTACTTTGAAGTTGTCCTGTTTGTATACTAGTTCGGATTGCTGCTGACATGGAATTGCTTAATAATTGTGCCGCTAATTTAACACGCATTTTTTGAAAAGAACTTGGGTAAATATGTGCATCTGTTATTTTGACGAGAGACCTACTTTTATGATTTACTTTGTCCAACTCGTATGTTTTTTTTATATCATCAAATGAGATTATTTTATCATCTTTTATAAAACATGCATTAATTAAATTATTTCTTATACTTTTAATTAAATGTGGAACATCAAACAAAGAAAATATTTTATTGTCGTTAATAAAAAAAAATGGACTGTCTTCTGAAACATTTAATGATTTTAAAGCGCTTTGGTTGTTTGTGCCTTGATCGCAAACTAAAATTTTTGGACACAATCCAACCTCAAATAACTTTTGTAAAACATCAATTATTAAATTTTTTAAAATGGTTTTGTTAACTCCAGAATGAGCAAGAAAATATGCAATAGGAAATTTCCATGGTGAATAAATACCTCGAGCCATAAATACTAAGACACAGTTGGCACTTTTATTGGTCCTCCCATAATGACCCAAGTCTTCAAAACCTTCAATAAAATCAAATTCTTTGGAATATTCTATAAATTCTTTTATATACATCTCATCAATACAAACAGTACATGCTTTTTCTTTATAATCAGATGACTCAAATCTTTTTTGTACATGGCTGAAAAATAATTTACTAAACCCTGGTAAGAATTTTGATTGACCAATCCAACGACGAATAGTCGATGGTCCGGGTAAGTTAACTTTTTGTGTACGTAAAAATTTATATGCTGTTGGTGATTTATAATATAAATTTAAAGCTAAATTTTTTTCATTTAATGTCCATGGACGACGCCTATCTTTTAATTGCATTGTTACAATTGCCTTGGATTTAATTGATGGAAAGTTATGCATGTTTATTGAGTTCTTAACATTATTACGGGTGTTAAAAGTATTAACTTTTTTTTTTAATTTTGAAATGTGAGTTATTTTATTATGAATTAATTTGTTTTTTTGTTTTAATTTTTGTTTTAGGTTTATTTTTCTAGGTGTATCTATTTCAATCAAATCAGATTTCCTTTTTAAATTTGGGCTAGGCATGTCTATTATACTTGTTATTTTCATTTTTTGAGGAGTAGAAAACATTGAAGGGGAGCTCGGAAAAACTAATTCTATCATGTCTGATTTTGAACGTGTATATGTCTTAGTTGGTGTTGCTTTTAAAATATTATACTCCTGTTTAGATTTGTCATTTTGGTCAAAGCCTGATGAACATGGCTGTGCCTTAAATTTATAATTATAGGGTAAAGCAGTGTCTATCAAACGATTTTGAGTAAAATTTTGAATAAAGCTCTCAGGCGGGAAATGTTCTTGACAAATGTACCTATTATGGAGTTTATCTGGTTCGACAGAAAACAAACTTGTGTTTCCTGTGTAAATTTACAAAAATAAGTTAATATAATAACAAATAATATTTGTAGGTAGATAAATGATAAATTTTTAAATTTATAAATCACTTATCATACAATAGATATTTCCTTTTTAATAAATCAAATGAATAACTATTAATTAGGAAGTGACAAAATACTATTCGAATTAATGATTCATGAACATTTAAAAGTATTTCCTTACCTGAATTTATTATCCATGTTTCTTTTCTTTCGTCTTTTGGAAAACGATACATTTTTAAATTCGGAAACGTTTTCTTAGATTTGCCACAATTTAAGTATTGGCACTTGTTTCCAGACATGCTTCAGATGTGAGTTATGATTTTATGAATAATTCACAATGAATGTGACAAGTGGATAGATTTGTTGTTTACACAGTACACACTACAGATCCTTAAATGCGAGTTGTGGGCTAATGTACGGCGAACGATTAACAAGATAGTAGTGATAATAAAATTATTTCAAGCATTTCAATTTCTTATTATTATTCTATTTTTAGATAGGCACCGCGTGATAAGCTACCTCCCTTCACCCCGTATAACTATGCCAAAAATCTATGATGGGGGTACCACCACCTTGCATCCCGACTACACTAGCGCTCCATAGTGGCTGCATCCTACGTATAGTCGCCAAATACTAACATTGTATGGGCCATCTGTCTATTCTATAATCAATGCTTATACTATAAAAAAGATAAGCCAAAGCATAATCCGATGGAAATGTTCCTAAAAATCGTCAATGAAATGTACAGCAATGTTAATTACCAATTTGAAAA